ATGTATATGAATACCCTCCAGTCCGACGATAATTCCTCCATGTATAGCCGTGATCCACTCGCGCGATGCGTGCAGCTAGTTTTAACTCACATGTATCGAAAGTCTTATATGTTAGTCTTCACTTTGCTTTCACCTTAATTTAAAACATTAATATACGTATTACAATTTATATATATATATATATTTAGTTATAAATTATTTTTTTTATCAAACATTTTGATAAATACTTGTAATACATATTTAGCAAAATAGATTGTAAGATAAAATTTCTTTATGATAAAATAATAATTATTTTTTTAGTTACAATGAATTAAAGAACTTATATATAAAATATTAGCATTTGAGCTTCTCAAAAGCCAAACTGATTAATTCTACTTTTTGTAAATTCTTTAATTTTGGCACCAGGACATTAATTATGTGTGTGCTCTGATACTAAAATTAAAAAACTTATGAAAAATGGAGTTAATTAGTTTAGCCTCTGAGAGGTTTATATAGAAAAGCTGACTCACAGATAACGGTAACTTCGACTTCGGCGGTATCGGATCCGTGCTGATTGACCGCTGTAATCTTGTAAGTGCCGCTATCCTTGCGCTCGGGCTTATCATTGAAGAATTTGCTGTTGTAGGGTACGTTCTGTATCCTGCGGTGTGTGGTCTGCTGAATGCTCTTGTTGTTGATCACCCATGTGACGTCTGGCGGCGGCTCGCCGATGATCTTGACATCAAAGTGAAACGCTTCGTTCTCGCGCACTGTTATGTCACGCAGGTTTCGTCTATCAATCTTCGGTGCAACTGCAGAGCAAAAATCAAAAGATAATTAAAATAAAAATTAATAAATACAGTCATCGTGTCTATTAATATATTTTAAAATGTCGATTAATATATTTTAAAAGTTTTATATTTCGAAATATTTTTACAGGAATTTTGTTAAATGATTGGTTGAAATGAATCATTTTACTAAAGAATGATACGATTTGAAAAATTGATTATATTTTTTAAATGGGTATAAAATTTCTTTTGTTAAAGAACAATATTTTTTAAGATTAAAAAAATTAATAAATATAAAATATGTATATAAATAAAATATAAAATTTAGCAAAAATTAACTTTGCAAATGAGTTTAAAAACTTACGTCTTCGACTCTTGGCGGTGATGGGTTTGCTGGCATCGGATGGTTCGCCAGGTCCCGCGGCATTAACGGCTTTGACTCTGAACTCATACTCGACACCCTCGTCGAGATTGTCGACGCGACCCTTACAATCCGGTCCGGTCTCGCAGGCTTTGATCCATTTAGGCGCGCCCTTTTCTCGCTTCTCAATCACGTATCCGGTGATTGGAGATCCGCCGTCTTTCAACGGCGGAGTCCATCGCAGGTCCACGTGATCCTTATCCCAGTCGGTCGCTTCCGGACGTCCTGGTGCGCCAGGTTCATCTGCAAAAATAAAATTAATGTTATTTGTCTGAAAGACGCAAATATAATTTTTCGGAAATTATAAGAAAATAATTATATATATAAAATTTGTCCTCATTATAATTTAAAATATTTTTTATTCTAAGACTAAGTATATATAATAAAAATAATAAAATAAAAATTCTGCTCTTATATATAATATTCTGTATCGCATAAAATTTTAATAAAATAAGTTTAAAAATTAAAAATTGAATAAAAGAATAAATTTTAATATATTATCGAGAAAAATTATTTGAGAAAAGAGTCAGATTTTACCAAATGGATTCTTAGCGATGATTCCATGCTCCGTCTCCAACGGTTCGGACTCGCCCTCCGCGTTCACAGCCGCGACTCGGAATTTATACTCCTGCCCGGGCACCAAATTTTCCACTACCATGTTAGGTTCTTTGGTTCGTGCGACCGGTATCCATCTGCCGGTCTCTGTGTCCATTTTCTCGACTACATAATGATCCAAAGGCGCGCCGCCGTCGTCCAAGGGCGGATTCCACTTGAGGGTGCAACCTTCTTTGTGCACGTCGGATACTTTGAGCGGTCCTTCGGGTTTACTCGGCTTGTCTAACACAAGAATCTCGATAGACGCTTCGTCTTTGCCGGAGCTGTTCTCCGCCTTTAAGGTCAACGTGCCACAGTGCGCTCTGGTCGCCGACGAGATCACGAACTTGGTCTTATAGTCCTCCACCTCGATGGTGAGAACGTTACCAGACTCCTGTTTGGCCTTGTTAAGGAACCAGGTCTTGCTTGGCGGCGGTTCGCCTGTGACTTTGACGTCCAGCCGAATAATGTTACCGGCCTTGATCGTGATGTCCTTCAGATTGGTGCGGTCGATCTTGGGCGCGGCGTAACGATCCTTGGCGGTCAAGGTATCGCTGGGCTCGCTGGGCTTGCTCTGGCCACCCTTGTTCACAGCTTTAACTCGGAATTGGTACTTTTGACCTTCGATGAGATCTGGCACTCTGGCTTCGGTCTTGTTGCCTGGAACTTCTACGGCCTTTTGCCATTTGCCGTACTGGTCTTTTTTCTCGATGATGTACTTCTCTATGGGAGCGCCGCCGTCTTTCTTCGGGGCCTTCCATTTCAAGTCTGCATGATTCTTCGACCAGTCTTTCAATTCGGGTTTATCGGGCGCATCGGGCTCGGCTATAATAAAAAATTAAAACTGCATAAATAATGTGATAGTATAATAATATTTAAATATTATAAGATGTATATAAGAAAAACTTTTTTTTATAATTTGCATATTTTTACAGAAGAATATAAATTCTAATATGTAAATATTTTTTTCTAAACAAAGAAAATGTTGGAAATTTTTAAAACAAATTTGATTATTGCAAAATCAAAATTGATAAAGAAAGAAGAAATTAAAGAAATTAATGGAACAATCGCGAATATAAATAAGCGGAGTTACTCACAGTAAGGATTCTTCGCGGTTGTCGGTGTCGACGTTTCCAGAGGTTCGGATTCGCCCTCGGAATTAACAGCTTTGACACGGAATTGATAATCCTTGCCCTCGTTTAAACCGGAAACATCTGCCTCCGGTGTCTTGCTGGTACCGCATGGTACCCAACGTCCTGTATCTACATCCATTCTCTCGATGACATAATGGTCAACCGGCTCGCCACCGTCGTCGTCGGGTTTGTTCCATTTCAGCTTGCAACCTTCGGCCGTGACGTCGGACACATCGAGCGGTCCTTTCGGTTTGCTGGGTTTGCTCAGCACCTGATGATTATCACAAAACAACATCAATTAGATTAATTACTTAAACATATTTGATGAGCGATATTTATAGGATTTAATTCACGTAAGTAAACACAAACCTGAAGCTCGACGTCAACTTGATCGGTGCCGCTGTCGTTCTTGGCGATGACGGTATAAGTGCCGGTGTCCGAGCGCTGGAGCTTACTGAAGATGAACGTAGTATGATAATCCTCGTTCTCGATCTTAAGTCGGTCCATGCTCTTCAACACCGTGTCCTTGAGTTTCCACGTGACGACCGGAGGCGGTTCGCCCTTGATGTCGGCCTCGAGCCGCAGCATTTGGCCGATTCGCATGACTTTCTTCTGAAGGTTCTTGCGATCGATGTGCGGTGCCACTGCACACAGGAACAGGCATTTATATTATTATAATTGATTAAAATTAAATATAAAATTGGATAATCAAATCTGATAAATAAATTTAAGCACAAGATGAATAAATATATTATCTATTTACAGAATCGGGGCTTGGCGACGACGCTCTTCGAAGTGTCGCTGGGCTCGCCAGGTCCGGCTCTATTGACCGCCACAATCCTGAACTCGTACTCGTGACCCTCCTGGATACCGTCGGTCACTTTAGCGGCCGTGCGATCTCCCGAGACCTTGGCGACATCCACCCACTGTCTACCCTCTTTGTCTCGCATCTGTACAATGTACTTTTCGATCGGTGCACCTCCGTCATCCTTGGGCGGAGTCCATTCGAGATCGACAAAGTCCTTGTCCCAGTTCTTGAGTTCCGGTCTACCGGGCTTGCCCGGTTCGTCTGAAATAAAGAAAGAAGTGTGTAAAATGTCGTGTAAAAATATTCAAAGATTCTGGCTTTTTATTCCAAATAATCGTAGATTTCGAATTTGATATTTTATACTCTATATATACGTACCAAACGGATTTTTGGCTATGATAGACTTGTCTGCCTCCAGATCATCGGACTCTCCTTCCCGGTTGACGGCTTTCACGCGGAATTTATAAGGCTTGCCCTCTTGCAGTCCGGTGATGGTAGCTTCGGGCTCGGTGCTGCGACCGCAGGGTATCCATTGTCCCGTGAGAGGATCCAGCTTCTCGATTTCATAATACTCGACTGGTGAGCCGCCATCGTCTTCCGGTTTGTCCCACTTAAGCTTGCAGCCATGCTTATTTACATCAGTCACTTCCAACGGACCCTGAATTATAAAAAAAGGATTAATTAGAAGATAATATATCATTTTTTGAATTTAATGGATAATTAATTAATTATTGTAATTTTAAACACTTCATTTTAATCTTTTTTATAAATATTCTATGCATGCGAATTATAATTACATGTCCGGAGTTAAAAAATTAGATTACCTTTGGTTTGCTAGGCTTGCCGAGGACGGTAATTTCTACCTCGGCGGTATCTTCGCCGACCTCGTTCTTAGCCTTAATCACGTATTTGCCGGTGTGCGCGCGTTTAGTTTTCAGGATGAAGAATTTAGTGTTATAATCAATGTTGTCGATTCGTATCGTATCATCTGACACGAGTTCCTTCTCCTTGAAAGTCCAAGTCACTTTTGGTGGTGGTTCGCCAATTATGTTCACATCTAGGGTCACGGTGAGGCCGACTTTCACTGTTATAGCTTGCAGATTTGTGCGATCAATGTATGGTTTCACTGCAAAAGTAAAATAAAATAAAATTGGTAAAGAATGCTCATTATCGATGTAGAAACTTATAAAATTTTTAAATAAATCGTTATATATATAATATATATATATTTTCTTTTCTATG